ATCCAATTGAAGTGAAGTTAAGATGCGCGATGAGTCATACGTAACTTAGTTGGAATTAAGGTATACCTCCGTATGTATGTTTGGAATGAACCAAAGGATTGTTCCAAAACATTTACATTCCTTCTTATTTGCACACAATCGCAATATCATTTTCGCGATGTTTTAATTAATCCAAAAAAGGAATTCGAATTTAATTAAGAAATAACTACCGCATACTACGGCAGAAAAACAATTAACCACCTCAACCAGAACCCTCTAATAACGAACATAAATCTCAACTGCACGGTTACACAATTAATTACGTAGTATCGTACAATTACTTTTTTTTGCTTTTCTTCAAAAATTTTTCCGTGTTGATAACGGGGTTACGTCAAAGGTCTCAGTTTAATTAACAGATTGAACAAAGTGGGGTCGTTTAATACACAAAATTGCAAAGGGCGATGTGGATCTTTTATGATATTAAAATAAAGCTCTCCGTTTTGAATTTGTAATTTTAAATTACCGCCATCAGACCCGGGGGTAACTTGAACAATGTTTCCTGTGTTGCATATTTACACAATTCGATTTCCATCGCAAGTAAGAGCTTGGCCTCTTTTATATTCGCGTTGTCTATTTTCAATGAATATGTAACGTACTTATTCTTTTTCGGGGTTGTGGTAAAGCAATCAGTGGCGCAAGTTGGACTTTACCCTATTGAGGTGCTAACCTTGTTCTTTTGTTTTGCTTATTAATATGTGCAAACTACACGGGAAGTAGATATGCACTAAAAGGCTTATTCAGTTGTCTTTCTTGACCTCCGGTTTTGCCGACAATGATAACAACTTTTCAATTTTACATGCCACCCCCCTGTATATTCTTACATATTTCCGAGCATATTTCGATAGAACATGGCACTGCAACATTACAATGACACCTCATATGTCATTTTGACATTTTAATTTGAGTATATTTGAATTTTTAATCTAGCGTGTCATGACTATGTTAAAACAATCAATACTCGAGGAGACTTGGAAAAATCGATATGACCGCCTTATGTTTTTTAAAGCCTTTGCATCAAGTATATGTTTTTAAATGGAACAGGGGTGGCTTGTTAGCATATTCTTAAAATGTTTTTACCGCGGTTTTTACCAATAATTTGATACCACATACTTAATGCAATTTTAACAAATGGCTCCGTAATAAATAAAAACGTCAAAATTAAACAATGACGTTGCCTTTATACTTTTAACATAGTCATGGCACGCTATAGGTTAAAATCTCGGTTAAAATTTATATATTTTATGATTAAAATGTCAATGCTGACATATAGGTGTAGTAATGTAGTACCTATATAAGAATATACGGGGGTCCCATCTAAAATTCATGGTAATTTCCAGTGAAAGCGAAGGCCACAAAAAAACGTATGCAACTTTTAATGCATTGTTACATCCCATCTCGCATCCCATACTCGGTTGCCAACTTTAATTTTTTTAATATAAAAAATTAAAAAAGTGATTGGGAGGGGGGGCAACCAAGGAAATTATTGTTTTATTACACAGCATTTGTTTTTTGATGATTATGTTAAATCAAAGCTATAACTCAAATTTTAGTTGAGAATCACTACATAAACAAACGAGTAAAAAAACGATCATTTGAGATATAGAGATGCAATTCCAAACTGCCCTACGAGTAATCCTTCTGTGCAAATTTTCAGATACTTACTAACATCATTTTCCCATGTACTCACCTAAGTATCGATTCAGCTTGTCGTTTGACACCATGTATGCCGAATTTTATTTATTTTAATGATAAGTGATATTATTATAATAATGAAAATAAAATGCTTATTTTGATCATAAACAATTTTAAATATTATATAACATTAATAATAATTTAATTTCAAATAATTTCTTGGTGATCATTTTAAAAGTACAAAAACATTTTTTAATGATTTTAAAAGGCCATAGACAATCCATAAAACTCCGATATTTGAATGTGCACCTTTATAATATAGGAGTTAATTACATGCGGTAAAAATACAAACGTAACCTCGAATGTAACAAAAAAAATCTAAAAATTCTAGAATATTTATGATTATTGACTCAAAAATAACAGTAAACGGTAATAATGGACTTACAGAGCAAAATATTTCAGTTTGCTGTTTGTTGTCAAGCACAACTTGTGTATTCAAAACAAGAAACAGCATCAACCTCGACATTAACAGAAATCCTACCATAAGATTATTACATAAATAGATCATGAAAAATGTAAAGAGCAATTTCTCAAAACACAAACCGAAAAATGGAACAGTTAAGACCGAGGTTTCGATTCTATCATCGAGCGAATGCGAATCAGTAAGTAATATTGATGATAATCTCGACAATAATTGCTAATTTCACAAGGAAAAGGAAAAAAGCCTAAAGAGAAGTTACAAAAATAAGCAAACTGTTGCTTTGCATAGACGTGGAAGTAAGCACAAATGGTAAATCCGCCCCAACTGCGATACGGGCGAAAGTGTATATCTATTTTATGTATTACGCTTGACATTGATTGCACATGTACGAACACCTCTAAAAGGTTTATGCATTCATAAGCATATTTTTGCATATTTATTGCTGGCCAGTTATTACTAACTTTACATGGTTTTCTTTCGTTGGTTCGTTACAAACAGTTAAAATTCAAGTTCTCGTCTAGTTGGTCGCGAAACATAGGTGGTTTGAAAATGAACCAATTAAGTTAGTATACCTGATTCAGAATTCAATGTACCAAAACTTATTTCCCGAGTTGTTTCCATTTCCATTATACCTCTGCCCTTTTTTTTGGAAAAGTTCGATTCTGAAAAATCACGATCAACATCACGCGAGCACCGGAAATATTTTGAACGAGATATTGAATCCCCAATTTAGAATTCAATGTACCAACTCGTAGATATTGCACTTTTACTATTTATATTCTAATCCGAAAAATCATGACCAATTTTAATAAAACATTCCGACAATTGCCAACAAGATACGATGATTCGCATACGATTTTCAGTAGGGGAATTTTTTGTTACTCAGCTCGCATTCGGAAACACGACTTTTAATACAGCTCATATTCATTAGCACTGGTTGAAATCGATTGGCGAAGGTTTGACAATCGCATTTATTTATAGATATTTTTTTAAATTTTAACCAAAGATTCTTCTAGTAAAGACAAACATATCGCATATTCAAAGTTAGGCTTACTGCCTTAACTTACAGTGTTTCGAATAGCTTCCGGGTGAATAAAATGAGTTTAAGTAAATTTCTAGGTAATTCATACTTGTAGCTACTTTTTAGACGATTCTGCAGCAAAAAAACTTAAAAGTTTAAAAAACTGGAAGACAAGTTGGAAAACACTTAAGTAATATAAAAAATGAATTTGCAACCCTTTTGCATAAACGGAACATGTGAAAAATGGAAAAAAAACAACAATACGCAGTAATTATTCTCACACAATTAAATTTATTTCCAATCTTCTCAAATGTATGCAAATTTGTGTGCAAATTCGGGTGCAACGAAAAAGAATGCAGCGACCGAACTTCTGCAGTCGCTCATCCTAAATCGAGCCATAAATAGTAAATATTAACCGCGCACTAAGCTGCTAGATAGTTGTTTAACTTTAACATTAACATTATTCATTATTGTGGTTTATTGGTGTGTTCATTCTTTGAAATTAAGTTTGTTAATGTCCCCTTTTCAGATGGCCATCTTACTTTGTTCCCGTCTTCTTCGAAACTAATTTTTCAATTACGGGAGGCACATACCGAGGTAAGTAGGTTTCTCAGCATTAAAAAAAATGATGATTACTTTATTGTGATTTTTCCTCGGATTTTTCTCGAGTTTTTTTTATCTTTGCGTTGTCAACAACATTGTTGATACAAATTCGGCATCCACCAATGTGGGTCCCTTTTTTTTAACATTTATGTTTCAATTACAAAACAAGGAATTCGGCAAAATAACATGTTAACAAAGCCAGATAAGCAGCGGTATTCTATATATTTTCCATACGTAAGTGCTAGCAATATCATCACTTATTTTTCTGGCTGCTCGTATGCAAACAAATATGTCTTAATTGATTTGTTTTGCAATTGCATTAGGTAACTGCTGTAGTACCCGAAGTGGTACCCTAATTAAACAACTCTTTGGAAACCCCTCGTAACACTTCTCCATTATTTCAGTATTACCCGCGATAATTGCGCACCTATTGAGGAAAGTAACTGAAGCTAAATTTTTTGTCGACGAAATAGAAGTTTGAAGTTTTGTCCTAAATTTAATTTGGTTTGTAGGTACTTTATTATTTTAATTTCGTTTGTGTATGACACATTTTTGCACTACTTAAGTACATTTCTTGTGCCATTTTTGCTATTTTTTCAACGTCTGCCTACCGATTGGCAGGAGAGTGCCTCGCTCAATACTGATAAGGTGGTATCACAAACAATTCGTGATTGCGGCTCGCTGCAGACACTTGTCTCTGATTACCGAGACAGCTATGGAAAAAAACGTAAAGGATCATGCAGATGAAACGCAAAAACATCAAAAAAAACTAAATGTACACTTTTACACATTCACCTTATCATTAGTTTTTCTAGTAAAGATGTTACAAGTCAAATTAATTCGCAGTCAAGCCAATTACGCTTAACCTTGATAACCATATCTGAATACCATTTGTCTTTTTCAAAACAGTGTAGAACGATAAAGCTATCGTTACATTTTGGTTCTACCTGACTCAGGACCCGTCTCCGATAACACAAATTTAAAATACAACTCACTGTGTGAATACCTATTTTGCGATCACATCGTCGCCGATTTTATGCAGCCTACGCGATTAACGTCCATCAAGCATAATTGACTTTCCGAAACAATTGATGATGATTATTTACGACTCTCATTTTTTACACATTTAGGTTATTAGGTAACTACGATTTATTTATCGTATGATGCAATCAATATCAGTTTCGTATTACGCATACGAGAAAAATAGGAATATTGTTTACTTACGATTGTGCCTGTCGTGTCTCGTCAGCACCCCAAAATCCATTTTGAATAAACGCTATTTCCTAACACCTATTATTATCACTAAGTACATCCCGTATACTAAACATTCAGTGCTAAATAAGGTACCTTTAAACACCGCACTAAATCAACACCAACAATAACAGTTATTGCAACACTTTTCGAAATATAATTAACTACAGTTAAACGACTACCTAATTCAAACACTAACAACAATCACTATTAGCTACATCAAATCAAAAACGAAGATTGGCTAAGGGCACCTTCACTACAACAGTACGTAAAAATGGCGCGAAACGTATTTACTATTCAATCGTTCAACGTAGAGTACAACTACATTGAAGAATGACTAAATCCGAACTAGAGAGAGAGCCGAAAGCGGTAAAATACGCGACCGCGCACACGTTAAACCCCGACAATTTTCCTCCTGGCTCGGTGAGTGCTATGCCAGCCAATTCATTGGTTAGTAGATTACAAACGTCAATGTATTATCTGTACGAACGTACACCTTTTGCACGTGGGCGAGCTGTAGTAGTCGCGTCGTAAATAACGTTATTTTTGTTTATGTTTACATAGAATGGCGCGGTATTATGCGTGCTCTCATTTGGCTACAATTCAGTTAAATTTGTTTAGTTCATGTAGGTAAATTATATCTCGTTAAGGGGATTTCGCAATCGAAATAAATAATTATGATAACATGAGGTTGAAACACGCACTTTCTCTTTTACTTGTAATCATTGGAAAATAATTACAGGGCAGCAACTGCTACCAATTAAAGAGGCTGTTACTGAAATATATGTAAAAGGATATTTTATGGAAAAGTAAAATGTAAACGCACCCCTATTTGCGCATGTGAAAATTGCAATTTTACATTTGTGATGGAGTTCCCGAGACTCTCCATAAGGTTTTAGAAAGAGTTGTTCTGATAATTAAATCATAAAAATCAATTTTTAAAATATAGGGGCCAACTTCAGCCCCCCCCCTCACCCCCCCCCCAATTGCGTAAAAAAGTTAAATTCTGAAAAGATTATCAATAGTTTTAATGTTTCTGAATAGTTCCGTGGAAGATCAATGCATATATGTTCTAAAATAACGAACAAGCAAAATCTTATAATGAATAATTGCATAACTTGTGTAGGGTGATCCCAAACTGTGGGCAGAACAAAAATTGTTCTCAACTATATTTTTTATGGCGTGAAATATTAAATTGCATAAAACTTTTTGATTGATACTGAATTAAATGCAAAACTTCATTATAAAAAGTTTCAGTGGGTTTGAAGGACCATCCAACACCTTTATACAGAACTTTAAAATACCAAATAGGTACCTACAGGGGCGATTGCCACCTGGCCCGTAGGTCATAATGGCCCGTTGGAAATTTATAAGTATGTGCCGTATTTAGTTTCTTGCACTATTAATAAATTATTAACACGTTTCTCTAATTGGGGTTGATGTTAGGTTGTTAAAAAATTCTGTTTTTATTTAAGTGTTTTACAATGAATTTATCATTTTTTGTCGTATTTTGAAAGTGCTGAAACACAATTATAGGCGATGCGCCTCGTTGGGATTATGTATATTTTGTTACTTTTAATTATCAGCTGCAATTTAAAAAAAACTATATTCTAATTGATTTTCGAGAAAGGAATACCTTAAAATGAAGCAAATTGGCTCGTTACCTATGCAATTCCACCTGGCCCGTAAGTACCCAGTCCGCCCCTGGGTACCTACTCTTATATCACCAACGACAAGTTGTACAAAATCAAAAAGTCTTTGTAAGTAGTTTATATTATATTCCTTCAACCTGAAAAACCACTTTTAAAACCATAACACGCGACGTCATACAATTTTGTTATTATACAGGGTGACAATTTGAAAACTTACCACCACCCATATCTTAGTAAATAAACGAGATATTTAAAAAAATCAAAATCCGTTTCGGTAATTCGGAGGGGGAATCACAATGACATAGTTGGCGACGCACCCCTCACACCCCCTGCGCCCCAGCCACCCCAATTTTTAAATCTTAAATAGTGACCCCCCATGTGTGATACGTCGTTGGAAAGCTCTGAAAAAATGCTTTCCAACCATACCAAATAGAATTATATTTAGGTTAGTAATTATTGTGCAAATCAAAAAATAAACTAATATGATACATTTGAAATCTGTCGTATTTAAAACGCAACCGGCGAACATAGACGAACTAAGACAAAGAATAATCTCGAGAATAATTCAAGAATGTCGAAATATTGCAAAACCAACATTTGAAAAGGTTCGACAAGAGTCTGAGAATATAGACCGAGAGCCCGCGTAGAAAATACATCGTCATGGGTACAAAAGGTTTGATGTAACCAAACAGTAGAATGTCACCGTGCGATTCCAAAATCGCCCGTCTGCCGGCCGGCGGCGGTCAACTTAGCGCGGGGGCGAATTTTGAAAACTGTTCCAAATCACATAATACATCGTCATTGGTACACGTATGATTTTTGGCAATCTGATCCGGAAATATGTACCCAATTCGTAGTTGCAACGGCAGACGATGTATCTGGGCAACTTTTCCGAGCAGACGCGATTAAAAACATTAAAAAATTATTAAATACCTCGTCATAAGGTACACGCTCGAATTATAGCTTAAAATAAAGCTCTTTGAATGTAGAATTTGGGAAAACTAACGAAAACGCGGCAGACGGTCGCATAACTATAGCAGACGCCTTTGAAATTTATAACTCGATCTGCGTTTAACGCATTACTCCCCGTGCGATAAAGCGAGAGCGCTGTCACACAAGCACGCTCTGTCGTATAGGTACTTGTAAAAACGGAACTACAGCTGAAAGTAGGTAAAATGTAGGCATGCCCCAAATAATGGGATTTATGAAATTTTCTCAACTGTCACAAAACATGACCAAAAATATGAAAACATATATTTCTACACTAGGTATACATGTAGGTAAATGCAGTATTAATATGTAAATAACGACTAACACAAGCTACAAAACGTTATATAAAAAAGTGTTTGGAAATTGGAATGCAAATATAGAATATAGAAAACGAATCTCATCACCAAAACTAACAACAAAACAACAAAAAAGAAGAAAATTCATATCTGGGATAGGTATTCTGAAAAATAAATATAGTTCTTTCTTATTAATACTATAATACACATGTACCTATTTGGGAATACTTACATCATATTATCGGCTTCACTCGTCTTCATCACTGGAGGATATATACAATCTTTCATCTCCCGGTATATATTTGGCATCGGATGTGTCATTAGTTATGCATATTTCTTCCAGAGTTGAAGGCGTTTATGGACCTACAAACCACTGAGGATAGAATTTGTCATCGAGCAGCACCCAGCCGTGTTCTGTAGGATTGTAGAAACTGATATTCGCGTTGCACTGCACCACAGAGCACAGATTTGGTTAACACGTTTTATTTTACAGTGCAAAACATCTCTGCAAGGAGGCAGTAGACTGCCATCAAACTTTTTGAGACTGTCTAATGGATTAGTATGTTCATGTTTTGGTTTGTAATGATTCAATAATGTGTCAAATCTGGCTTCATTAATATTTTCATAATTGGGTTGATTATACATTTTGCATAAGAAATGTTTAATGCCGCTTATTTGTTCACTGGTCAGTTCCGGTGCATGTATTAATGAAGCCAGATTTGACACATTATTAAATCATTACAAACCAAAACATGAACATACTAATCCATTAGACAGTCTCAAAAAGTTTGATGGCAGTCTACTGCCTCCTTGCAGAGATGTTTTGCACTGTAAAATAAAACGTGTTAACCAAATCTGTGCTCTGTGGTGCAGTGCAACGCGAATATCAGTTTCTACAATCCTACAGAACACGGCTGGGTGCTGCTCGATGACAAATTCTATCCTCAGTGGTTTGTAGGTCCATAAACGCCTTCAACTCTGGAAGAAATATGCATAACTAATGACACATCCGATGCCAAATATATACCGGGAGATGAAAGATTGTATATATCCTCCAGTGATGAAGACGAGTGAAGCCGATAATATGATGTAAGTATTCCCAAATAGGTACATGTGTATTATAGTATTAATAAGAAAGAACTATATTTATTTTTCAGAATACCTATCCCAGATATGAATTTTCTTCTTTTTTGTTGTTTTGTTGTTAGTTTTGGTGATGAGATTCGTTTTCTATATTCTATATTTGCATTCCAATTTCCAAACACTTTTTTATATAACGTTTTGTAGCTTGTGTTAGTCGTTATTTACATATTAATACTGCATTTACCTACATGTATACCTAGTGTAGAAATATATGTTTTCATATTGTTGGTCATGTTTTGTGACAGTTGAGAAAATTTCATAAATCCCATTATTTGTGGCATGCCTACATTTTACCTACTTTCAGCTGTAGTTCCGTTTTTGCAAGTACCTATACGACAGAGCGTGCTTGTGTGACAGCGCTCTCGCTTTATCGCACGGGGAGTAATGCGTTAAACGCAGATCGAGCTATAAATTTCAAAGGCGTCTGCTATAGTTATACGACCGTCTGCCGCGTTTTCGTTAGTTTTCCCAAATTCTACATTCAAAGAGCTTTATTTTAAGCTATAATTCGAGCGTGTTCCTTATGACGAGGTATTTAATAATTTTTTAATGTTTTTAATCGCGTCTGCTCGGAAAAGTTGCCCAGATACAACGTCTGCCGTTGCAACTACGAATTGGGTACATATTTCCGGATCAGATTGCAAAAAATCATACGTGTACCAATGACGATGTATTATGTGATTTGGAACAGTTTTCAAAATTCGCCCCCGCGCTAAGTTGACCGCCGCCGGCCGGCAGACGGGCGATTTTGGAATCGCACGGGGACATTCTACTGTTTGGTTACATCAAACCTTTTGTACCCATGACGATGTATTTTCTACGCGG